AAATCTTGCCTAAGCTCTTATTGTCCAATGAGAAGCCACTGGAAAGGCCATAAATGGACCCTGTAGCATTAGAAATCCACAAGCGAAAAAAACAGTAATTAAGTAATCAGGCTTTTATGAGCCAAAACTGGGATAAGATTAATCAACAAGCTCTATTAAGGTGCTCCCAATTCATTTTCAACCACTAGTGTTCTTTAATACAGACATCCTTCAATTGCAAGCAGCACGTGGCTGCCATGGCAACGAGTTGAATTCATGCCCTTGTGAATAGTGCAATACTGTAGCTGCTTAAAGCCTATGGTGGGATAAGCGGTATACATAAGTTTTACGTAGTATTTTAGAAGAGGCTACAAGTATTCACATAGAATTTCAGATGCTCATGAAGAATGCCACTGGGTGTCACGTGATATTTTTTTTATATGCCTATATTGCCTATCCTTCATATGGCCCACACCCAGATTTTAAAGTGGGTTTACTTATTCAATGTAACAACCAAAATGAATGTAATAATATTCAGCCATCTTATTGCAGAGACACGTTGGTTATATCTGAGAGATAATAAACTTTTATTTTGAGCGAGTGCACTCGGCACCCATGGTGGGTGGCCTCCTTATTCCAAGTAGCCATGCCCATTGAACCAGGCTGCGCTAATTCTTCAGGCCTGGGTCCGATAACTTGGCCTCCCACTGCTCTCCATTAATGAAGTGGTTCCAGGGTTTTGTCTGCATCCCCATACCATAGAGCATATTGTGTCCGGGACAACACAGCACTTGCATATGTACGAGTACTCTAAGCTTGTGCAAATATTAGAATGCTTCAAATATTAGAACGAATAGTAGCGTATTCGAATCCGCTTCGATTTGAATTTAAAATATTAAACATTTCTAAGTATTCGCAAGGAACAAATAAATGCATACTCATCCGAATATACCACCTGTAAAGAACGGTTTCACTGCAGTGTAGGAATGCTGAACCGTGAAAGCACTCATGCAAAAAAATACGCTCTGTTACGAAGTCCCTTTCAAATTTAAAGGGGCCCTGCAACACTTTTTGAGCATTCCCAGAAAACGCTGCTGATCCATAGTCAAGGCTTACCGAAAACATGCAAGCCAAATATTATAGCGCTGGATGTGGCGTGCGATTCACGATAAATTCTCAAAGTCAGCTGAAAGTTGCTTTCCTCTTTCAGCAAATGACCCCACAAGCTCAGAAAGCACGTTTGACTAATTTTTTCCTCGTAACATCCCTTTCTGCTAACCTTCCAGCACTTTCATTGAATGGGAAGAGAGTGCACTTGCAGCACGCGACAAACCTTTACAACTTTGCACGTACTAGAAAATTGGAAAATTTTTGCGATAAGCCGAATTCACGAGGCAATAAGCTTCTTGAATGATTTCATTCTATGGATACTTGAAAAGGTGTTGCACGGCCCCTTTCAATGAAAATATTACTCTCAAATAAATTCATTTTATTAACCTTAAAAGCTTGTTGATGGCTTATATGCTCCAAGAATAATGAATTTTAAAATGTTACGTATCTTGAGGGTTAATACTTGCATCCTGCTGTAAGTCAAATCCTGCTACTGCTCAATGTTCTTTTGACTTCTTTGAATAAAAAAAAAGGCACTTGCATAGAGGCTTCATTTCAATTTTTAACAAATATTGAGAAGATTAGTTAGGTCATGATAAATATGCCCATTTTTTTTATGTGTCGTATATAATATTCGAATTCGATTCAAAGTTATTCAACCAAAATCACTATTCACTTCGAATTCGCTTTGAACTTCAAAATTCACTATTCACACAAGCCTAGAGTACTCAGTTGGGGAGATGCGGTGAAGTAGCATACTGTGAACTTAGGTGTTAGTTTGTAGCTTCCAAAGTGTTACTGCCTCTTCCCTATTCAGGCTGGTGTGAGCTGGCAGATAAATTCTTTTGCTTAGCCTGTAGTGCTGCAATATATCATTGTACTTTTCGGGTACTGCTTCTTTCCTCCTTGGTGCGTCCTGTCGGAATGCCCTGTGAATATGAGCTCAAGCTAATGTGTTGGCTGCCTCATTTCCCACAAGAAATTCGTGACCCGAAGTGCAAACGATGTACGTTTCAAGTTGATCATTCTTCGCTGCAACAGCGAGAATTTCTAAGGCCTGCTTAAAAATTCTCCTTTTCTAAAAATTACGACAATGTGCTTGGGAATCGGTTAGTATTTTTGCTGTATCAGCACAGGTTGAGACTAATAGTGCTATCGCCGTTTCTTCTGCCGTATCGATTTATGCAGTCGAGAAGCTAGCTGGCGTCCCTTCTTTGCCTTCGCTGTCAACTACACTGACAGCATGGCCTGGAATTTCTAGATATTTCGCTGCATCAGTGTGCCATGTGTCTGGATTGCATTCATAGTCTTGTCGGAGCTTCTTTATTCCGGATTTCCTCTATCAAGATGGTAGGTAGGATGCATATTTCGTGGGATGCGGGCTACTGAGATGTACTTTCCAATTGTTGTTGCGATAATCTTTTTTTTTGTCACATTGTTGCATGGCTTCAGAATAGCCCAATCTTCGAAGTGTTGCTCGTCCTGTTTCATTAAGTCTAAGCCGTTCGAGTTGATTTACTTTGTGTGATAGCACAAGCTCCTCCCAGATATTGGGTAGACCCAAGTATGACAGTCGCTGTGTGGAAGCACATTCAGACATCCCTATGGCAGTGTAGATGACCTTTCGTATGAGGATATTCAGTTTTTCAACTTCAGCAATCTTGAGGGTCAAGCAAGTGGTTCCGTAAGTAATCTGCTGATGATGAGTGCTTGATTATTTTTGTTCTTTTAGGCCGTGCCTTTTGTTTGATACCCGTCGTACCAAGTGCACAACTTGCATTACGGTTTCTTGAAGTTTCGATAATGTGGCTGCACCCTATTCATCTTTGTGGATGTCTAAACCCAGGACTCTGAGCGATTCCACTTTAGAGATTTGCACTCCATTCAACTAAAGCTTGGTTCTCGGATTTCACCTGTTGGCGACCGTCCCCTTTTTCTGGCTTTTAACATAAGAAGTTCAGACTTTTGTGGCCCACATGTGAGCCCACAAGCATTGAGGTATTTTTCTGTGTGGTCCACTGCCTTTTGATGTGCATCCTGCTGAGATCTTGCGAAGAGCCGCCAGTTTTCCAGATGGTTAGGTCATCTGCATATACGGCATGGCTTATCTCCTGTGTTTCTTTCAATGTGTTTGGCAGTTCAATCACGGCAATATAAAAAAGGAGTGGTGAGATGACAGAGAATTGAGGGTTTCCTTTGTTTGCCATTTCAAACTGATCAGATATCAGAGTGCCAAGGCGCACTGTTCCTATTCTGCTGGTAAGAAAGTTTTGTACAAAGTGGTACGTTTTTTTTTCGCCGCAGAGTGTCCCGGTATGAGAAACATTGCCCATCGCTCCTTTTACGTCTAATGCCAAGATTGCACTTTTGCTGAGCTTGCCTAGGTGATCGATGACATCTTCCTTCAACTGTAACAAGATGTCTTACGCTAACCAATGGTGGCCGAATCCTTACATTGTGTCAGGCAGGCATCGGTTTTCTTCCAGGTATGGAGTTGGTCTGTATAGGACCCTATGTTCATACAGCTTACGGATGCAGGATGTCAGGGATATGGGTCACATATTTCCTACTCCCAGTGGTTTATTTAGTTTTGGAATCATGATTATCTCAGCAAAAAAAACTTGGACATACTTTAGGGAGTTACGGCTAAAAAATAACTGCATGCACAAAGCCACTAATTGAACATCCTTTAGGGAGCTACTGCCAAAAAAATAACAATTGCATTCACAGAGCCACAGAGCATTGCTTTGTATTTTTTTACAAGCTTCACGTTTTAAGAAATCAGCAATTTTTCCAGTTCAGATTTTTCCCAACTTGTAGCTCACACATGCAAAATTTGAACAGAATCGATTCACTACTTTTGGGGAAGAGGTACATCGAAGCTAAAATAGTTATGAAAAATGAAGATTTATGTACGCCAGGGGAGTGCACAAGGCGCATCTGGGCGGGGCACTTAAACTGCTTGGAGCGGCCCCTCGACGTCGGGCTTTCACAAGATTGGTCTTCAGAGCGCAGTGCATTTTTCACTGTCAAGAAATTGCAAATTAGACTTTTTGTGCGGTTTACCCTAGTATACCTCTATAGAGGGTCCCTGAAACAGCTTTTTCACAATCAGTTTTTGATTAGACTATTACTGGAGCAAATTGTTGGCAACAGAGTTCAATCGAAACACCCATTCTTAACGGAGCTACGAGTACTAAAAAAGTACGCTCCTCCTCCGCTCTGCCTTTCACTCTCAACTGCACTCAACTCTTCCTTCGAGCGCTCAGCGCTAAGCTCCGCCTCCATGGCACCTGCGTCACTGATGTGCCGTGAGACTGCATACGCGTAGATCCCGCCGACGATCCGATACTGGCAGTCCGTGCTGTGCACTTCACAGCCAATCAGATCAGCTGGAAACGATGACGTCAGTGGGGCAGAGCGTGTCTCTTAGTGTATGGGTGGTTGAAAATGTGTTTGGCCAATTCGCAGTGATCTGGAGCGATTTGCAGCTTTAAAATGTGTTAAATTATACAGTTTACACAAAGAGCTCAAATCGGTCTCTAAATTACCCTTGGGACTTGGTCTACCAGCCTAATGTGATTGTACAAAATTGTCAAAACTGTTTCAGGGTCCCTTTAAGCCGTCATAGCCAGCCGAGCATGTGTGTCGGCGTGATTTTTTCTCGGGGGGCTGGCAGAGGAAGCGCTGTTGTAGTTTGGGTGGAGGGCAAGTGCCTTTTTTTGCACCCCTGCCATGCCAACGCCCACGAAGTCAAGGTCATTTATGTGAAGTGAAAATGTAATACTACTGCTGAAACTAGGTTATGGCTCAGGGAAAGAAGACCAGTTCTACGAAGGACATGAAAATACAGGCACCGATGTCACATTGATCTCTGTTCCCATCCCCGCGAAAAAAAAAAAAAAAAAAACTTACGTGGGCTGCCTCACAGCTTTGTCTCGTTGCAAGGCTGGCGGAGCTTTTGCATTTGCATTCGTACGCCCGCTATCCATACTTGCCTCCTTCACCGGCAAAGCACTGTTCAAGCTGACTGCGGCATCCGTCGTATTGGCACTGTTTAGTGAAGTTTTCTCAGAGCTGGCCTTACAATGCACCGGACCTTTCTGAGGACTCTTCCTTGTCTTAGGTTGTCCAACTGGTTCGCCGCCGCCAGACTTGCAGACATTTTTTTTTGAAGGCTGCGCTAGCCCCTTCTTGCTGCTGCCGGCTTGAGAACTTGGTTCACTGGCGGATCGGTGCAGCGACTTTTTCGCTGTGCCCTTTGGTCGTGGCTTCTTCTTCTTGCCACGAGGACGGTTGTTGCCAGTGTCTGATGACTCTGAATCGCTGCTGAGAAGTTCGGCAGCAGACCACGTGCGTGTCTTGTTGGTTAGCCTCAGTGTCCTTGGTGAAGTCACCTCGTCACTTCCCGCATCACCAGGCGCGCCCTCCTCGCTGGGCTTGTCACTAGGCTTGGGTGACTCGGAGCTGGTCTTACTTGCATTGTAAGCTGCCTGAGGAGATGCCGGGAGCATGGAAACCCTTGCTGGAAAGCAGAGCACATTATTTGTGACGAATTTCAGGAGTATGGAGTCTTTTTTTAAATGTGTACAGCTTGAACCCATTGACAATACAACTTTTACTGAGGCATTCTAACTACTAGGATTTCTCAGCCGTTTATTAGGAATGGCACGACCAACAGGTGAAACCAACAGCACACAAACTTTTTCATATTACAGAGCAATGTCTACAAATGTGGTCTATGGGTTTATTTGCGTGCGCCTGTTTGCATTTCAAGCTTTGTTTCCTTTTTTTGATGCATAAGCTTTAAATCTTTATACCAGAAGGTTGTATGCGGTCCAAATCTTATGGTCCAGAAAATGAGATGAGTGTGCAAACGCGTGTAGCCGGTGCACTCGACAGCAGATCAAAATAATGCCCAAGCAGGCTTTTCCTTTCACACTTTGAGATTGTCCTCTCCCCTAAGTGTAGGGTAGCAAACCGGATGCTACAATTCTGGTCGACCTCCCCACCTTTCTTTCAATTTGTTCTCTTATTCTCTCTCTCTCTCCTATAAAAACTGTGCCCTCTTTCTGTATGAGCACTTTTGGCAAGCAAATGTTAACAGAACATCACTGGAAGTCGGTCATTACGAGTTCAAGTCAAAGGTAAGTTATTGTTTCGTATACCGAAAGCACTGCTCGTGCAGGAAATAATAAAAAAAAAGAGTATAAGCTTGGAAAGTGAGAAAATGGTCTAGAACAAAATACAGGTAATAGTGCTGACTAGACCAGCTTGCTGTGAAGATATTCAAGGAATCTGCTATGGTCCTACGTGACTATGAGTAAATATTAATCACCTTGTTTTTCAAGTGAACAACAGACTTAATATCACACGTTCTAAAAAATACTAGTGAGTCGATCTTGTCAAAGCACGAAAAATTGAAAGAAAAGACTTTAAAACCAGTTATGTCAAACATAGGCATTCAGCGACTGCCGTTTCGGCACAAAAGTAAAACTTGATTCGCCCCTGATAAGTAGAGAGCAACACAGATCATCTGAAGAAAACTCGTTTTTCAGTTAATTCAATACAAACCCAAACACAGAAGTTATAGACTGTAGATGTATGACATTCTCTTCTACTGTCTGAAATGAACTCAACACGTACGTTCAGCGGCTTGATCTGGTATATGAGTAATGTAAACGAACACAGCAATGCTAATTTCAGTGCAGATTAGCTTTACATGTGGCTCAGACTACAGTGGGATTCTTTATCATACTTTATCGGAAGTTAACCCGAAGTTCTCAAATGGAGTTGCGTCACGAAAAAGTCGAATTGCGTCGTGAAATAAACACATCTTCATTCACGGCCGGTTGATCACTCGGACGAAAATCTGAGAGCATACATGTTTGCCTTCGAGGGGTACTTCGGAATATTGCGATCGTTATGAATACGCTCTAGTTTGTAGCGATCGAAGGCTGCCATCGGTTCGCTTGAATATGGACCCATCGTTGTGCGCTGTGTCCCTTACGTCTGCCGACTAGCCCAAACAGTCACTATATCGGGAGCTACAAAATGCGAAATGGAGGGGTGAAATTTTGAAGTTATATTGTAGTGAACACCGACTCATATGATCCAACATTGCGGTACGCAAGCCTGCACGCTTGCGAATATCAGATCAATAACGAAACACACCACAAGCTCATTCATCATCTATGCTGGAACTTTGCTGGCTGTGTCCGCTAGAAAAATGCTCTCTCTTATTTGCTATTACACATTCAGCAATAAGCGAAACATTACCTCAGTTCTCAATATCACCTTTTGATTTCGGGCTTCGCAGCAGAACATGCACGGAGGATGGCCGAAATGTCACAGCAAGCTACAGACGCTCTTTCCCGTTGTTGTGGGAACAGGTGTCCCAATTCTCCGCACCATGCCGCCACGGTCGGCGTGAAAAAAGTAGCGCAAAAGCTATGTCGTCAGTACAAACCTACCATAACAACACACACTTAGGCTGCGATACTTCAGCGCGCAGAGTGCGCCGATTCCCCCTGAGCACGCTTAGAGATGTTGTGCCGTGAGGAGACGTTCTGTGGTGGTGCCAACCGCGCGAGCTCGTCAGGGAGCATTCCAAAAAGCGCAGTCAAGTCACTGCAGTGCTACTCACGTTTCTCGCAAATAGAAGACGACATTTCGGGCTGTCAAAGGGCTACAGCCGTTGGCACCAGCGAATAGCAGCGCCTGGGCGCCGTTTCAGCGATTATATACATCCGATGCGCTACCAAAACATTCACTGCATAACAGTTTTTCCTTCCTCCCCATGCTCCATCGTGACCACCCGAGTTGCGCGCATAGCGCGGGCGCGCGGCGCTGGCGTAGGCGTGGCCTGGCAGGGCTTCTGATCTGGCTTCTGTCAGCTTCTGAGCTTTGACGTCCGGTCTGGCGCGCGCGGCAACTTGAGGGGCAGTGTGTAGGGCAGTGGGGCGACAGCAAGACTAAAAGATTGGTGTGTTCAAAGAACACTTATGCCAGCTTTAACACGGCAGCTAAATTATCTTCTTGAACCTGGTTTAGGTGAGGCTGGGCCTCAGTCGTCGGCTATAACCATAGAGTTAATATATATAATAACTCTATGGCCAGAACTCTCGGTCGTTTCCCTTCGCCTAACAAGGCACTGTCTCCTGAAGGAGGCACTGCCTCGACATAACCAGCGGTTGATAGACCGGAACACGATGCCGCAGTTTTGCAAATTCTCGTAATCCTGGCGGCACCAGCAAAAGGAGTACTGCTTCGAAGCATGTGCATCGTATCTGGTCGTAACTATTCTAGGTGTGTATATTTGTATGTGAAATTGCTAAAACGTCGCAGCGGCACTCGTCAAGACGACTGAAAGGCTAAAGCCATCTTTTTTTTCTTAATCAATTCTGCCAACCCTCCCCCTCTGCTACGCCAGGAACTTTCATTATTGATGACTTCATGCTATTTTTGGTACGCCGACCCATGCGCCAACCGCGCACAGCCACTTGAGTGCCATGTGAATTTTGACCTTGAATGCGTCAAGGCCACTGCGCATGCGCGAAACCCTAACCGCGTTTGGGTTGGAGACGCTATTTCTCGAATTTAGCGGGAGTCCCAAAGCGTGCCCCAAATGTTTTGGGTCAGACAAACGTGACGTCACCCACTGAGTGACGGCTCTCGGCCAAGACTAGTGACAGGCGCCGCAACAGTGGCAGATCCAGAGGGAGGAGGGGAGTATTTGCCAGCGCCCCCCCCCCCCCCCCATTCAGTGCTTGTAATCTACCTCCTATCACCGATTAGGACAAAGGGTCGAGTGAAATCACTGTGAGCACATATTTACAGTATTTATGCAATGAAGTGGCTTTTATGCTAGTAAAGAAAGAACACTCATGACTACGCGTCCCCCTCGATCAGGTGTTACTTCAATCAATCGCCCCCGTCTCCCACCCTCCCCTAAAATAAGTGGCTGGATCCGCCCCTGCGCTTCAAACCCTATTCGAAAACTCGTATCGCTCCTCATTGACCCATTGTGTCTATATACAAAGGGCTTTCGGGGCCCCTATTCAAAAACTCTATTAGGTTTGGTGAGGAGAGGGGGAGCATTTGTGAAGGTTTTTTTTTTTTTTTTAGTATAAGCGAGCATCACCAAATCTGTAATATGGACTCGGAAGACATTATTAGGGCAATGTGAATTACTTTAGCCGTGATATATGCATACAGTGCCATTCACTCACCTCTCATTGGTACTGTGCAAGTGGTTTCTACACGATCAACATGACACTGTGCTGTATTCCTCCACTCATTTCTCTGACCACATGCACTTGCACAGATCTGTGTCAAAACACTACACTGATCTTGTTCACCATACCAGTTTCCGGGAATATTTTTCCTTCATCCAAATTATGTATGCACACATTTAGTTTTGCCTTATTTATTGGCATTGTCATGGTTGCTGCCCACATTGCTTGCACACTGGCACAAAGCAATTGGAAGGCACTGCGGAGCGAAGATAATCGGTAGCTAAAACACTGCTATGTGCAAATGGCCTTGTTTTTCACGCCTAGCAGTATGACAAAGACTGTTTGCCACATTGTCGATAGATGGCACTCAATGTTTTCAGACAGAACAAAAAAGCAGTTTCTTTGAAGAGCCGTGGCATCAAAAAAAAAAAAAAAAAAAAAAACAGAAGGAAAGCTAGCGTTTGAGAATTTCACTTGGAAGAAGGCGCGTGGTGAGAAGACCAGTTACTATGCACACAGCCATGAAAGAAGATAAATTCAACTCAGCTCAGCAGCTAGTGTGACATAAAATTCAGAAAGCTTCAAGTTTCAGAACCTTGGATTTGAAAGATAATATGCTCATTTATTGGTTAATTTGGTAGTCCTTAATCGTCAGAACTATGTCAGCACCACAGTGAAGTATGATGTCAAGCGATACAAAAATTGCAGTGTGAGTTGAAGGCTTTATTTGGAGAATAATGTGCCACATCGATTGGAGCTGCCATGAGATCTGTGCATCAGAACCTCTTGCAGAGTTCCTCTGCGGCTTTACACAGCTCGTTAATGCCTGCCCGCACTACAGATACCTGCACCCAGAGGAAACGGAAGCAGTCACATCCTTGGTCACTATGCAGAACTATCCTGCTTGATAATGTACACAATTGCACACTTCACTTTCGTTCTTACCAGTTCTGCACTGCAGCGGTGATAAAAGAAAACATCATGGAAGTTGATACATTGATACGCAGTACATTATTGATTCACTACTCCAGCACACAAAATGTACCTTGCCAACAATGAACCTCCACGACTGGGTTTTCATTCAGAAGCTAAATAATATTTCTGAAAAAAAAAAAGCACAGGACATTACTTATTGCAAACTAAATTGGTAAAGTGTGGCATCTATCACTTTGTCCTGTTTAAGCACTGTGATCCAGTTCCGGTACATGCTTAGTTACACTAATTGTGACGATCGACTATGAAAATATTGCATGGAGTCATTCTGTAGACGCTGCCTTTTTTGCAGTAAGGACTGCTGCGCTTTATTGTATTATGTCACCTCATCATGAAGGACAGGTGCTTAAGAAATCGTTATGAAGGAAATACGAGGGGTGTTCATAAAATCCGTATTATTGGTGTGATAAAAGAGGTGGAGCGTACAAACAAATTTCATGCAGAAGTTCACTCTTTCTATACACAATCTTCTCCTGGGGTCTTGCATTTCTGCAAATGATGTGTGGGCATGGCACAGGTCATTGCAGTAGAACGTTAAACTCTCCATTTTGGAAGTTCAGAAAGCACTCGACTTTAATGTTCACTTCTGCATCATCCGAAAATGTTTCCCGTGCAGCGTATTCTTCATCAGCTTTTGTTAAGATTACGCCCACTTCACAAACATTACAGATTATTCTGAAACCTACGGGATCACTAGCGATAACGCTAGAATATTTGACGGCACGTGTATAAATGCAAACATGCTGCATCGCTTGTCAGTTGATCGACGGCCAACACTTAGTTCACCGCTCTGAGTGCCAGTTGAGAATAGAGCAAGGAGCTACTTGGTGTAATCTCAGGTGAATATGGGTGGTCATGCAATGTTTCGTATTCTTAAGAGGCTGCATGCATTACCGTCACCAATAAAAGTGACCTGGACTTTGGGTGCTCAAATTGCTGCTGCCATTTTCATTTTGGTGTCCTAATAGCATGCTAAAACTGCATATATATGCACACTCATTTTGTTGTACCATCGCATATAATTGTCATAAATCGATCACACTGATGATACAAACTTTATGAACAACTCCTTACAGTCAACACGAATAGAACAAAGCAGTAGATAAGTCAAATCTTAAGATCACAAAATAGTGAAGTCTAACCGATACCTGTCCATGGCAAATATTAGGAGTATGTATATGCGTGAATATAACTACTTGACTTCCTTAAAACAGGGCCCGGATGGGACATAGAAAAAACTATGCTACGAAAGAAGTCCGTACTAACAATAAACAGTTTTATGTAGCCGTCACACTCTACATCAACTGGTTCATACAAATGGCAGCTGCTACAGCAACAAATTAAGGTACTTAATTTCATGTATGTAACTCCGATACAATGGCATTCAGCTCTATACAAGTAATTAGTTTTTTTTCTCCCCTTCTTTTATCTAATTTTTTACTTTCTGATAATCACTTCTCTTTAATTCTCTCTGTTTCTTTTTATGTTTGTCTCTCTGTCTTGCCCTCTTTCATTCCCATCTTTTCCTCTCTGTGTTTTATTTCCTCTCAATTCCTCGCTGTGTTTTATTTCCTCTCAATTTTATTTTCTATGTAATTGTTTCTTTTATTTCACCCTCTTTTTCTCTTTCTCTCTTTTACACGTTTGTTTCCGTCTAACACTCGCACCTGCTGTAGTTGATCTGCCCATAGTTCTTTGAACTTGTATGTCAGATGTTAAAAGAAAGTTTCACGGAAGTTTTGGCTGCATGTGGTATCAAGGAGGTTTTATAGCGTAACCTCTTTGGTTGTGATCGACGCTCTGCATTGGCATATATGTATAGTTACGGAAGTGCATCTTTATTTATACACTTTCCTCAAGCACATGTGCGAAAGCCTGGCTGCAAGCTATCTTTGTCTTGACCACACACAAGAAAATTCAGCTACAGGGCGTATTTATTTGTAGTAATAATAAAGTGACCAAACAGTCCGATTTAGGTAGTACATGTCCCGGCTTTGCAGCTGCAGGACCTGCTGTACAACCATCCTGCTTGCATGATGGTATTTTATCGCGCTTTTGACCGATCACTCTCACTCGTGGTCAGCTTAACCACACCCCTTTGCTATATACTATATATTGTCACCTACTTCTAGTAGTGGGTCGTATGCCAAGGTGAAGGATCACACCACAGAGAAGAAAGAAGTGCGCGTGGGCCCCCCTGCTCTGGCAAACAAGCCCTAGGAGACAAGACAAACAAGCCCAACCGACGCGCTTGGTTAGAGCCCTGTTGCTCAGACGTCAATAAACCTTGCCGACACCGCCTGAAGCGATGTGACAATATACATGATTATATGATCTGCTTTCTTTCTCTTTCTATATTTTTTTTGTTCTCATCCTCACAGTAATATGGTTCTCGAATGAATGTTCGACTGCTGTGCCTGGATAGCCGAGTGGTTCAGACGCTTGCCTTTGAAACGCAGATACCCGGCAGTGTTGTGTATCTCACCTCAAAATTTTATAGCATTTTATATAATTCTTCCTTTCCCTTCCCATTTTGCCATCTCTGCCTCGTTTCCTTCCCTCTTCTCCACTTCGCCAATCAAGTGTTTCTCAACTCCCGCCTGCCTCCACCCACCATTCCCCTTGCCTCAGCGTTCTTGCAGTCTTGCATCCAAGCTTTCAAACCTCTTCCACACCACTTTTTGTGCTTTGCTCCGCTCTTCCCCTCTAATGTAATCGTTTTTCCTCGCATCCACTATACTGGATACAGGGGCTTCCCCAACGTTCTCCAACACCGCCTCCTCGACTCAGTCCTGTTTTGTTGTTGGCGAATTATGGCCACCGTAAGTAACAATGAAATGCATAAACGATAAGAGAAGTAATCAAGACAGATACGACCACGACGCAATTTCCACTTTTTTGTGCTCGGCGGAGTCCCTTCGGGGCTTCACGACAGAAAGTATCTTGCTTTGAACAGCGATTCCGCAGCGTTCTCAGTATCTAGCACCGAATATAGGGAGAATCACATGAAAGGCAACAGCAATTCTTATCGCTTCGAAGACCACAAATATATTTTGTCTAAATCTATGGGCGCAGAGGGCAGCACCTACTTGCCTTAACCAGCAACATGAGAGCCGGCTTACTCATTTCTCCTGTTGCTGCAGCTTTCGCACAAGTTTGCCTGTTGTGCGAAGTGGTTGCTGGAGAAATTTTGATTCATCATGCCGCTCGAGAATCTGGAAGAAGAGAGCTTGGAAAAGAATCCCAACCTCGAGTTAGCGCAGATAAAGTTTGTGCTCGCCCATCATGAGCCCGGCAACGACAAGCTGAAGCAGGATCTCATGTCCGCGATCACCGAGCATAGTAAGCAACAAGCTACTCGGAACGTCACCAAACCTCTTTTTAGCTCTCATGTAAAGTAAATTGTGAACTGTATATAGGATTTAACGGCGCCGTGATCAATTATTTTGACTAACATTGTGTCTCGGCGCGCTATGTAAAGTTTCGTTGATGAAGTTGAAGGCGTACTTTCTTTTCAGTTGGAAGTTGTATAAACGAATGTAGCGTGGAAAAATAACCGCAACTTCATTACAGTTAGCTGCGTTTAAAGTAAACGCCCGGCTCTTAACTGCAAGTTTTGATGCATATTTTGTGCTAATGGTCGGTAACGCAGTTGTCGAGAGGCACGGTACACCGCAATGACTCAGCTTTAAAGTCGAGCATTGCGGACTGCACGCGTTGGTTGTTATGGGTTATTCGTAACTAGCAGATGCTATAGTGAGGTGTTATTTGAAAACCGTGGAGCTGCTGCCGAACAAGTTGCTCACGCAGTGTGCACAGCTTCATAGTACTGTCATTCATAATGCTGTAAATTTGCTATCGTTTCATTCAGAACTAAGAACGGTGATTATGCTCTGCGTGGGGAAGCACGAAGCGCATTCAGCGAGCACTTTTACAGCGTTGCCGATAGCCAATGTGTGAAAGAAGTGCGCAAAAAGAAAAAGAATCATTGTCTGAAAGGGGGGAAGTTTGTGGTAATGTTCGTGGAAGTGAGTCGGCATCACTAAATCACCCGACTCGTGCTTGACACAACCTTTATGAAATCCAACTCATAATGAAGCCAAAGATGATATAGGAGAAGTTATACTGCTATAAGTGTATTATATAGTAATTTTGATATAGATGCGATGAAAGTAAAGTAAACGAAAAGCTAAATTGTCGTTTCGGGTCTGAAGGTTGTAGGTTTAGCCCTTCCTGGCAAGCTGAGGCATAACAAGTGCTGACTAAACAGGGTGCACAGTTCTGAGGCTGTGTTTGGCTGAGAACCATGGCTGTGGCACAAATCAGGTAGCAACTTTGGGTTTGAGAAGCTGTAATGCTGTGTACAGGACTGCCAAATTGAAATGGGACAATTCAGAGCTAACACGCATACCTTTCCCCCATCATCTTCAGTTCGGGTCATATATCTGCGTAATTTCAACTCAATCGCGTAGGTTAAAGCCAACAACATCTTTATGGATACCAGATTTATCATGACATGGTGTGATTATCTCTGGCAATCGCACATATTCGTGGTTATGACGAAAATTCGATGTCACATTTAAATAGGTGAGAATTGAGCTTGTCGACCTTATTGGCTCACGTTTACTTGCAGACATGGCACCCTTCTACGAGGAGACATGCGCCGAGCTGGGCTGGCCCGTGGACCAGCGTTTCCTGAACAACATGAAGACTGCCAATGCGACCGAAATTGAAAAGCTTGATTCGGCAATCGAGGATGCCGAAAAGAACTTGAGTGAAATGGAGGTCCGGGAAGCACACCTTGCCAAGGCTGAGTACCTGAGCCGCATTGGTGACAAGGTGGGTTTATAGTGTTTATCGGTTCCTGCTACCTTCCAGGTGTTTCCTTTTTCATAAGCCTCTCGCTGCTGTTCTAAGTTGTAAGAGGTGTACTCTAAGAATGTAATTTTTATTATTTGTGTGTTATTGTGGACTCGCAAACATTGTTTTAGGTGTGTTCCACACACCATTAATTGCTTAGCGTCCTGTACGTCAATTCCCTTTCAGAAAGCGTTTGAAGATGTTCTGCAAGTAAGTAATGGTGAATACTGCGATATGCTTTGATTTTCTGAACTTGGGACGTCTGAAAAATGTTTTCAGAAAAAACTGCCTGAGCACATGCAAATACATTTCTGTTTAGCAAAAATATCAAGAAGTGAAGTTTGAACATTCAATTTCTTTAACCCTTTGAGGGCGTATTTTTTTCTTGAAATGCATTCCAGAAATTCTTATTTTTTATTGATGTAATTAATCGATCAGATGAATCTATTTAAAGGAGCACTGACATCAAATTTACTCATGCCAAAATTTTTGCGTCAGCGAGTAGCTATAGACCCCATAGCAGCGATTCGCGACCTGAAACGCAACTGAGGGATGAATAACTATCACTTTTATTGATTTATATCTCTGGGATTTAGCACTGTTCAAAAATGGCCGGCAATCCCGCTATGTTTAGCGCTATGAGCACCAGCAGTGGCACTACCTCGTGGTCACCTCCAGATCACACCATAGCTGACCATTTCTCCACAGAAAAAAGTGACGTTAATCTCAGCTGCTCCGCAAACATTTCGTCTGCTAGGCGGGCACATTCAGTCATGCCTTGTCACCTGCATTGCTGTTGTCGCCGTACAAAGTGTCGACTCTGGTTCAATACGATAGTCTGGAGCTTGGCATCCCCGCGATTCGCGATGTCGCGAATTGTTTTTGCTTCGATCGACCTTTTGCAGAACAGTTATTCCGAAATGGATGCCATTCCAAGCAGCACTGCAGAGGTGCCCGAGGATGCACGCTTCAGCCATGTTCGCTGGTGTGTCTCAGTTAGCTATATTGGTGTGTTTTGGCCTGCAAAGCATTCAGGTATACGCAAAGGGTTCAGGGCATTATAGCTATCGCCAATGAGCATCAGCGGAGAAATTGAACACGTTTCTTGCTTGTCAGGTTCTTTTTTGCGCCTCCAGATGGCCCTACCTATCCAGCCTCTCGCGGTTAACACGGTATTATCACTTTTACGTGTACGCAAAGTCTACAGATGAACTGAACTTCAACGATACCTGCATGTTACTTGTTTGCGATGTTATCTGACTTCACGCTATTCCACTTTTGATATCGTGTTGATGTGTAACACATACGTGATATGAAAAGACACCCTCATTGCACTTCTTCCGTGCTTCGAACTAGATGGCTGAAACTCACCTGCAACTCACAACGATTCCTTGACATGCACACGTTTAATCATGCTCTTTTCTTGCGCCATTTTTTTAAAGGTGGTTTTTATCTTGACAATTTCACGAAATCATTCAAAACGCTGCGATGAAGATCAGACGCAACGAGCCACGGCCGGGCTAGACTGCACCTGCGCGCGCTAACCCGGCCGTGAACGAGCGAGTGCGTTTCTGCGCTTCGGCGCCATGGTAAGAACACTCGTATCGTACACGTTATCGCTACTAGGGCATCGTTACTCAGGATGGTATTTGTGGAATGTATCACACCGAAAACGTAGCACTAGTGTCGATGTCACAGGGCAGTCTATTTTCCGTTTTTTCTCCTTAGCTTTTCTACGCTGTTTGACATTTAATTAAAATAACTTCCACGCAACGGATGCCGTTCAAATTTGGCCAAGAAGGCCTATGCATACCAAGCGATTGAATGATGGGCATATCTCGATTTTGAAATTTGATGTCAGGCCTCCTTTAAGAAAAAAATCGTCTAGAAGAGTTTTGGAAACCTTAAAGCGACAGAAGGTAATTTTTGTCATTATATACATGGTTTATTTCTGAGCAAAATCAAGATAAATGCTAAATAAAAACCTGTACTACCTGTGGACTCCTCTGGACTTTTCAGTTAAGTTCTTGACCGACTAACAACTGTTGAAAAATATTAGGCATTGAAATAAACATCTCTGTAGTCAACAGATATACAAAACAAAGTGAATTAAGTGGTGTTAAGTGCAAAAGTAGCATCGAATGCAAGCTCGGGGCAAAAAAAAAGCCACTACCGATCCAGTCAGCATCAGCTTTCCAGGCACGCTTTTGAGATGCTATTCGCTCGTCAACAGCAGTCTCAACTCGTAACTCCTCATATGGTGGGCCGACATTTACCGTATCGGATTCCGATTTGGAAGTCGAGTGGTGAGTCTGAAGAATCGCTGGAGAACTCGCTTTTGGCAGAGAAACTGGCATGCACTTCCATATTGAGAGCGAACTGTGCAGGTGAGCGCACTGAAGGAAACTGAAGTTGCGGGCATATATGTAAAGCGAGAACATGAGCACATTCGGAAAGTGGGAACAAGTCCGAAAGCTAACAGGAACATTTGTCTGATCGCCAGTGACATGAAAGGGGTTTTTGCGAGTCCCCGAAGCAGGAAACTCAATCACAGTGACATTGTTTTTGTCAGTCATAAGGAATATTTGTCTGATTGCCAGTGACATGAAAGGGGTTTTTGCGAGTCCCCAAAGCAGGAAACGCAACCACAGTGACATTGCTTTTGTCAGTCATAAGGAACCTTTGTCTGATTGCTAGTGACATGAAAGGGGTTTTTGCGAGTCCCCGAAGCAGGAAACGCAACCACAGTGACATTGTTTTTGTCAGTCATAAGGAACCTTTGTCTGATCGCCAGTGACATGAAAGGGGTTTTTGCGAGTCCCTGAAACAGGAAATGCAACCTCAGTGACATTGTTTTTGTCAGTCAGTGCCTGCAATAACAGAAGCGTAATTGTGTACCAAGGAGCACTGAACGAGTGCATGAAAAAAATTCAAAACATTTTGAAGTATTCAAAACAGGAAGAGCATCAGTTTTGCAAGAACATTAAGCAGGAACTGACTGTGGAATGAAACTGCCGGCACACCGCTATAGAAAAAAAAAAAACGTGGAGACCTTTGTGTCAGGAAAAATGATTCTATGTTTTCCCGCGGTGTGGCGGCACATGCCGAGCAAAAGAAATGACTGAAGAAGGCGCGCATTTCAAAACGACAGTCAATGACCTACATGTGTGCATCTTGTGGCTGTTAAGGACTACATACATGTTCTGTCTTCGAGACTTGCAAAGGGTTGACTAGGTTTCTGCGATGAGCAAATAAAGATAACCTCACATTTCCAAGCTAACTTGCTGAGCTTTATTGCACTTCTAAAAGACAGCTGTGACAAGTAGATCAATTAAAGCATGCAGAACTTGAATCTGTTATTAGCAAATGCTAATGTGTCAAATATAGAGTAAAAGTTCAGGAAGATTATATGAGTTCAACCATAGTGTATACCTATGGGATTAATAAAGGGAAAAAAAATTACGTTAGAGTAACTCTGGCTGCTGTATGCATATGTGCAATAACATCACTGCGTTGAAATCGAATGAATGTAATGTTGCTGTTGTAACAGTGGACATTAGGCAACACTTACCATTCGTTAACCAAAACATAGCAACACTATTTGGCATTAACCTTTAGTAAGAGGGAGGAGGGAAAGTTTTGCTGCATGTTGCATCTGCAGTGAGCAACAGCAAGCACAGTTATAGAAGTTTATCCTTTCTCACAGGAGTCTTTTTGTCTGGTAGACTACCACTAGAGGAAGCACCTTCTGTTTAGAAGATCTTAATGTGTCGAATGCACTTGCTGTTTGCAGGAGGCTGCGTTGACGCAGTTGCGCAAGACGTATGACAAGACGGTATCGCTGGGCCACCGATTAGATCTGCTGTTCCACCTGATCCGCCTTGGACTGTTCTACCTGGACCATGACCTCATCACCCGCAACATTGACAAAGCAAAGAGGCAAGCGCTGTCGCGTTTGTCTGACCCTTTGGGTCACTATTGTCCAATGTGGTTTACGTTTTCTATTGCATCAATGCACGGTTATTAGAAGGGGAGGCCAGTTTTTTAAAACATTGCTTTTTTAAAATCTTAGTTGATTTTGTTGACACTTGGGGAGTCAACAAAATCAACAACTATATCTGGGTCCTGGTTTCATGTATGTCATCATTCTGCCTGTACAATGTATGTAGGTTTTAAAATATCAAGGCATTTCATTTGCTCTTTCTAGCGCTATTTTTTCTAAATTGAGGGAGTTGCAAAGTGGATGGGCATATCACAATCTAGAATTATTACTGCGTGCGAAAGAAGAATGGGTGTTCTAAATTCATTTGAACAAAAGTAATGGTACGTTGAACACTTGCCAGTGTAATCCCACCTTGACGTTTACTAACTCGTCAATTTTAATATGCCGTGACTAATGTTAAATGGCTTTAGAACATGCATGATTACTTTATTGCTTACAGTTCTCATATCAGTTATTGTATTAAGCTGATTTACATTGTCACTCACTCAATTTAGAAAAAATAGGCTCTGAACAAGGCACGTGAAATGTTCGGCATTTTAAGAACTAGGTTTGTACTGAATAAAATGGTTGCATATTTGAAATCAAAACATGAACATAGATATCATATTTTCCTAAGTATAAGACACACCCTTTTTTAATATTTTCGCTGTGCATCTTATACAACATTGTGTCTTATATAGAATGATAAATTGTTCATTCAGACTCTGCGGGAACTGCCGAAAAGTCATCATAATCGAGAGCATGGAAAAAACCAACAAAAAAACAAAAACGTGTGCTTATGCTTTGGAACGGAACAGGAGACTGCAGCACATTTCGTTCTGGAAGAAAAGTAGCATGTTGACAGCCATTATTATGCAAGAATGTGAGATATATTGTGGGAATCTGAAGCGCGCCCGCGACCATTTCGCAGGCATTCTGCCGCACAGCCACACCCTTTTGCTTTTTCTGCTCTGATAACGACGCGTGGCGATAGATGGCACCACGTGCGGGCGCGGCACGCGGTATGCGCGTGTCGAGGGAGCGGGCTCTCTCCTCCGTGGTCGGCGCCGGGTAAGCACGTGTTTTCCTTCGTACGCGTCCCCTTTGGGAATCGCCGGACTGTAGCCTGCCTGGAGTGACCTTGGGCCCCTCTGCAGGCGTGTTTACTTGAGTGTTAGCTTCTGTAGCGTACGCGAAGCCCACAGTGGTGCCTAGTGCGTGAAGTGGTCGTACCACACCGAGCCGCACTTGCCGTAGGCCTACGCGTACGAGGTTTGCCCTAACACTCTCGACCAGGCCCATTGGCCATCGTGAGAGTGCGCAGCATAGCCGCGAGGGACCTTTTCCCGACCGGCGTGTCAAAGCTCGCCATTGCCAGCTGCGACGTGCTCGCGGTTTTCCCCTTATTGTGAACGTCCGCGTGCGGGTGCCTTTGCTCCTTGCGTCCCGGGAGCGGACGTTATACTGTTGTTCGGGGTGCCGCCGAAGGCAATAAAGTGTTGTCTATTTTGTATTAGAACACTGTCTGTTTGCCGCGCCGGGCTAAACACCTTATTAGTTGAGCGCACGCGGAGCAGTGCGCTACACGTGTGTAGGTGACGGAGTCGCGGCCCTGTGGCTCGCTAAGTGTGAACCGCGGTGATCCGCTGCAGTTAGTAGCGGGGTCACCATAATATTAATGCTAAATTAAATTCACTCTCACTGCCAAGTGCCAGAACAGCTGGTAGGCAGCCATCTATTATTTTATTTGGAGCAGGAGGCACTGACCACTTATTTCAAAACAAGCTGTTTTACGGGGCTCATGATTGCGACGGCTTGTTTCTGCGGCTTTTGTCGTGTTCTGTGACAACCAAGCTTAATGTGCATAGATTGGAACATGTTGACTAATCACAGGGTGCTTTATAGAAACAGAATGGAGTGATTTTACATTTTCTGGCATCAGTTATGAACTGGTTCTCTCCAGGGCGCAATTCATTTCTGATTGAGTTCTTGAGAGCATCGCGTTTCCTAATAATTCACTAGAGGGAAATCTGGTGCTAGTGTCTATGGTGTCTATGGGAGCTGCAAAGCATGACACTTAGAAGGGCCCCACAGCACTTTTTCAAGTAGCCATAGAATGGAATCACCAAAGAATATTGCCTCACAAATTCACTGTCGCAAAAATTTATGAAAACCGTGCTGTACGAGCAGAGTTACAAAAATTCGTCGCCCACTGCAACTGTATTCTCTCTTCTCTCGTCCAGGCGAAAGCCCTAAATGCCAAGCAGGGAGAGACGGCATGTGTGCCTTTATCACTTTTTCTGAATTTTTTTCTTTGAATATGCGAATACGCAATGGCACACGCACACATGGACAAGTCACGCCGTCACACCAAAGGGCACCATGCTCAAAACGGCCAATGGCTAATATATTGGCTCTGACAAGTGATTTTTTAGCTTCTGCTGCCATTTGTCGAGAGAAGAAAAAGCAATTTTTAATGACTTTGAGAATTTATTGCAAATTCCACGCCGATGTGATGCACTATAGTATTTGACTTGCACGTTCTCAGTCTCTACTAACGATCGATCGGCTTCGTTTTCTGGCCATGCTCAAAAAATGTTGCAGGTCCCCTTTTAAAGCCAGCACGGGAATGAGGGGTAGCACACGTAATTGTCTAAGCTTCATGCCTTTCGAGCTCCATTTGGCTAAATGTGGTGTGGAGGTGCTTTGTCGCAAGACGAAGTTCAGCTAATGTTTCGCTTCACTTTTTTAGGCTCGCCAATTCAAATGGGCTTATGTTCACAATGACTCATTCTTTTACCTGAGGCCGAAGCCAAAGCACTGCAATAAACAAAGCCACTGGTGCGTTCGAAACAACAAGCACGAAGATGAGGCACAGACACGTACTACCCATCATTCCCGTGGTGACTGAACAATCGCAGACCTAGAGTTCCCTCAAATAAATATTGTACAGTTAAGTCCGCTTATAACGAACCTGAGCCTGACACGGCATTCGTTCACTGTATCCCGAAGTTCGTACTAAATGAAACACAGCTTTTAAAGAAGAGTCGAGTGAAAACATAAAAGATAAGGGCGGTCTCGAGTTTATTTCAAATGGCAGCGTGCTCTTCGCCGAGGCCTGTTGCATAAAATGCGTGAGGCACTGGCTCCAAAGTTTTGTCGTTCTGGCAATCCGATTCCTCCAAAAACGCTCTTGCCGCGTACTTCATCCACAATGCCCTAATCCGTGCACGGTTCCGCGGAGTCGATGACGCACTGCTACGAATCGCCGCCGCTGTGGTCCTGTTCGGAAGCTTCAGGCTTGGCATCGGGCCCGACGTCGACAAAGTCGGCCTCACGAAAACAGTTTTCGCGCGCATGTAGCCGCCGCTGCCCACGTAATATTCACCATCTCCACAGCTGAATACCGAGACGCCCGAAGTGGCAAGTTGGCTACCAGGTGGTCAACAGCTATGAGCAAGTGCTCCGCGACGCGGCACCTAACGCGCGGATTAGGCCCAAGCCAAGCGGTCACACTTTCGAAGTTTTGTTGAGCGGCAGGAAAAAGCGTGCAAGGCCTTCCGTCCGCCACCCTGACCACACATGCAGACCGAGAGCATGCAAGGCGCGCACATGCAGCGCACATGCCAGAACGCGTGCTGTGGGCCCGTTTCTAGTCGGAAAACAAAACTTCTGAATTCGAGCCAGCGTGTGCGAATCTGTGGAGACGGGCGAAGGAGTTGTGATCAAAAGAAGAGAGCAGATTTGCGAGAGAAGGGCAAGGAGTTGCGATAGAGTGAACAGAGGGGAGGAAACGGTTGGGAAAGCGACCTTGAAAACCAAAACACGCGGAAAGGAGGCAGGTCGAGTAGCTTGCTTGAAAGGTTGCGAAACGCGCAACTCGCGCGTAGAGAATCTTGAAAGAGGGCATGCGCGCACAGAGGTCTAAGCACAGCCGCCTGGATCGGCGCGCATGGCGGTGTTCAAAGAATTAGCGGCTGTGATTAAAGAATCGTTTTCTTGCACCGCCGAGTTCGCCGAGTTGGCCTCACCGATTTCGATATGTTGCGATTTGTTCCATGCAAATTAACAGCCATTTTTACGCTTTTGCACGCGTGCAGAGGGCATGTTGAGCCGAGTGCAAAGTGAGCGAGAACAGGCTCTAAAGACGAAAGAAATCACGAATTATCAGAGTGGGTGGGGTAGTGTACACGCGTGCACTAGAACGATACGATGAGACAAGAATCAGACGATTGAAAAGAGACGATGTTGGCAAATGGTCAGGTTACTTCAGCCCGGCGACGCCAACGACAGTACCAGTGATTAAAAACAGGGAAGATGGCAGACCAGTCCTTGAAAGATTGGTGGCAGTGTAAAAACAAGGGCCGCGACTGGCGATGCGGGGTGCTTGGAGTAGCGGGGGAAAAAGGACAGAGGGGTGCGTAACAAATAGTGGTAGGGGAGAGCGGCAACTAGAGGGGTGCGGTGGCATGGTCGGCGTTTAACAATAAGAATCTATGGGCACCTCACCGATGCCTGATCGGTGGTCGAAAGTGGTTTTCTGGGAAGTCGGCAGAGCGTCGACTACGTTCGCTGCAACCGATGGGCGGCACTCGGAGACGTTCGTTGCAAGCGCGATTTCGTGTCATTGAAAAAATGTACATTTTCACGGTCACGCCGATGTTGTTCGTTTTAAGCGAAAGTTCGCCTTAAGGGGGGTCGTTATATGTGGGCTAGACTGTAGTAAAGTCTCTCTTTGGCTGAGGGGACATAAGTCGAACGAACTGAATCTTGCTTTCTTTTAAAACTAGGCCGTTTGTGTTATTGTCAACACCTCCTTTATGCAGCAACCCAAGTGGACAGTCTTCAAGGGAACAATGAAGGCATTGCCAGTTTACCGGTCCCCCTGCATGCGGAAGAACGATCGCTACAATGAACTGTGTTCACGTCTTCTGTGTGCAGCCTGATCGAGGAAGGTGGTGACTGGGACCGTAGGAACCGTCTCAAAGTGTACCAGGGTCTGTACAGCTTGGCAGTGCGGGACTTCAAAGCAGCTGCGGCCTCCTTCCTGGACACTGTGTCCACCTTCACCTGCTACGAGCTGATGGATTACCAGCGCTTCGTCACCTACACCGTGCTCGTCAGCATCATCGCTCTGCCGCGAGTCGAGCTTCGCGAGAAGGTGGCTGCTTCACTTGTTTATTTTATGTAAATGTAAATTATTCTTTTGGCTGAGGCATTGATTAGGTGTGTGAGAATCTTCAAAATTTCGAATATTTTTCTAATAGTGATTGCTATTCGATTAGATTTGCACAGGAATTTTTCACTGTTCGAACTTTATGTAGACATATATAGTGAGCATCCGATTAAAAGTGACCTTTTCAAATCTTCTATGATCTGCACTTCACCACAATCTCGTATTACTGCAAAGCTGCTTTTCAAGCTCCCTTAAGGTCGCATATGTATTGGCTCTAGACAAAGCTTACTCCAACGTGGAGATGAAAGATGTAACAAATGTGGGAGCTCAATCAATGCTGTTTTGGACCCAAAATTTGGGCAGGAAGCTCAAAAAGTTGATGCCAAAGATATTTAGCATGCAAAATTTTGAATGTCCATGTATGTTGACATCTATGAAACTGAGCTGAACCTCCTAACTCAAAGGGAGAACAACCTTGTTGGTCACTACAGATGGGCTCCCACAGAAGTTATAAAATGAGGAGATGCACACGAAATAGCATCTTTGCTTTTCACATTATGGGCAGCAGCAGCGCACAAACTCACGGGACGAAGAGAAGAGACACAAACAAGTGCTGACTCTCAATTGAAGAATTTATTGAAGCACACAAATTATCTGAACACATAAGATAAAAACAACCATCAGTCCAACTATCAGTCCTTTCACATTTAAAGGGTTGTCGGCAACACTTTGGTTGTACCAAATCATGTACCAATACAGTTCAGCCTCTCCATTGCCTCATACATTACCCAGCCAGGGCTTTATCAACCTAGCGAAAAGAAGCACTCATCAATATAGCGAAAAGAAGCACTAAGAATATGCTTAGGAATCCCGCCCAAATTTTTTGTCCTGAATTTTGCTTTTAAGTATTCGAAAAATATTCTAGAAACATTCAAGAAATGTTTTAAGATATATTCGATTCTATTTGCGCTCACTCTTCAATAATTGAATTCGCTTCACACCACAAATTTGGGTATTCTCACAGCTCTGGTATTGATGCAAGGTATAAGGAACTTAGTCAACATACGAGACGGTGCCTGTATACAGTCGATCCTGTATATATCAAACTCGAAGAGATCGTGAAATAGTTTCACACATGGATAATTTGAAATACAAATTGTGTGCATCTAAGGCCAAAATTAAAGCGTTTAAAGCCTTACGAATCGTTACAAGCGCTAACATAGCGATTCGCTCACAGTATAACGAAGAACAAGGTGTGAACTGCAAGTTGCTGCACTTTATTTCGCATGAAAATAGTCTGTAAACTTGTCTTGCTTCTTGCACGCCATCGAGTTCCAGTAATCCTCAATATCATTGAAGCTTTTCAAATAAGCGAATTCAGCTCCTTCGGCCACAACAGCGTTGATGCAGAACGCTGATGCAAGCTTTGTAGCGCGGCAAAATGTTGGTTAACGGCAGCAGGGAAGGCGTTGGCATATTCATAACCGCACGGGTACACTTCTGTGACACCAGCAACGGCAGCCATGATCTCAGCACCGGTTCAGTCGGAAACAGCTATGTACCCTCGAAACTATTGTACTCACATCGCAGGTGTCGCCAGCAGGTGGCCAGCAGCTCCGCGCCGCGGCTGCCTTAGCCTCGAAACTGCAAATGCCGCAATCTAGTGCACGCCAATTCCTTGCCAGCCGTAGCTTAGTCAAACCTGGGGCCACAGTCGCATGGTTAGACAGTGGAAAAAGCTGTGCTGTTGACCTAAGGTGTGCTGTCGGCGGCGTGGAAGGCGTTGAAGAAGAACGGCTATTTGGGCTAGTTGGTTAGAATCCATGGTGATAAGGGCTGCAGCGAGAGCACGAAGGTGCTAGAAGAAACGTGAAACGAAAGGCGAGGCAAGGAAAGCAAAGAGAAAGGAAAGCAAAGCGCTCGTGTTGTCCTCTTTGCTTTCCTTGCCTCGCCTTTCGTTTCACGTTTCTTCTAGCACCTTCGTGCTCGCGCTGCAGCCCTTATCACCATTGTGGAAGGTGGTTACACAACAAACCCCCCGGAACTACTTTCGCCATGCAGCTTCATACTGGAGGCCGAGATAACTGTCTCGCCCGCAGTGGACAGCTTGTATGACTAACTTCCACCTGAGGACGTTTCCTTCATTGACGCTGACAAAAACTTCGAGCTGTTTGTGGAATTGACAAATGAATGAATCATTCGCCAAGTTATGGAGGATTCAACAGAATCGAAAGTTGGGCTAGTTGGATATGCATGGTATAACTATCATTTAAAGCGCACGAAAAAACAGACATAAAGAGAGGACAAGCGCTTTCTCGCAACCAAACTGTTTATTAGGATTCCGACGACACCGAGATCGTAGAGGCAGGATTGACACAACCAACGAGCTTGGAGTTGATGCGAGCACTGATTGGTGTACAGCGACAGCATGATGTTAGCCGATATTGAGGCGGACATCATCGCAGGGAAGTAGAATGCTGTGCAAATGAAAATAAGAATCTTTTTTGCACCACAGTGTTCACGAATGCAAAGTGTTCACAAATGCGGTCACATCGAATTTTTTTTCCTTTTTTTTTTCTTTGAACTTTAAGTACTCTCACACCTTGTTATAACGAACCCAGATATATCGAAATACCAGTCATAACGAAGTAAACTAAAAATAGTCTTGCATTAGATATAGTGTTAGAACGAATATTTCGATATAACGAGCTTATTTTCGTGTAAGATGCAACTTTGTAATAATGAAGTTCTAGTGTATAGACAGCTCTTTTCTGAGCCATCTAAACGTTGCTTTTGCTGAATTGCAATGAGAATAATGTACTCCTCCTGACGTGACCCTCTCCATCAGTGAAATATACCTACTATTATAAAAGGTGCGTTTTCGCATTCATTCATTTTTCCGGACTGCCTGATTTTCCGGACGTTCCCGCGGTCCCTTGAGGGTTCGGGAAGTCTGACGTCGACTGTATGCTAGTTGCAATCTACATTTTGTTCGAAATAAATTCTGCAGATTGCTGAGATTGGCTTTCTTTTTTTTTGGGCGGAGGGAAAGAACTGCCTGTCTAAGCTCCTCTCAATTTCCTCCTTTCCCCTGAATGAAACTTTCTGTGCACCCAGGGTTCGTAGCAGTCCTTGAAACCCTTGAAAACCCTTGAATTTCAAAATGGCATTTTCAAGGCCTTGTAAACATTTAAATTTTTTTGTAGTCATTAAAAGTCCTTGAATTTCGTCAATCAAAGTTTGTTCAGCCATAATCTAGTGGATATTTTTTCGCGCCTGAAAACTATGTGGTCTCTAGTTAACAAACGGTCTAATACAATCTGCCTCTCTAGCCATATTGCAGCGTTTCAGTACTGTGTACTCTTCTAGTACACTGTAGTTGTAGTGCTTAGGTGGTACAGCAGCAACGACAGAGCTAAGTATGGCTTTTTTGTGGAGACTGTGTGAGTTTGTGCAAATATTTGCAGTCGCGTCGCTTATGGTGGAACTATGCTGGGCAAGTGCAAATTCCAGCTGTCTTGGTTATGCATTGCTGCTTATAAAGAGTGGATTGCACCTGATACGTCAAACTTGCATCAGGCAAAGTTTTCTTATGTTGGAAGAGCTTTGATGTTTCATCAATGGGGAAGTCTGCCCTTGAAAGTCGCATGAAGAGTACAAAACACATTGAGAACACAAAAGCGACTACAGTCCACGGTAACTTGAGTGCATTCATGGTGCCAACCGTACAAAATAAAGTACAAATTTTTATGCTGTAAGAAAGTGGCGTTACCATTTTCTGCGTTTTCAAGTGTTATTTTATGTCCTTGAAAAGTACTTGTGAGGTCCTTGAAAGTCCTAGGAAAGCCTTGAATTTCATTTCACTCAGGTGCTATGAATCCTGTGTGGTGTAACTATATCATGGGGAGGTCAGGGTGGTCTCGACCCCCATTGTGCGCTGGCGGTTGGAGGGGTGTTAACCTCCCTCTTGAAATTTCTCTTTAAGATGTCATACAGCTCAAGTTTAGCACATTAAACAATTCTATTGCCGGATTTTTAGTGTGCACCGACATTCTGTGCCCCTCGTAGGTGTGACACTACTAAAATCGTGACATCTGCCCTGTTGTCGATCTGCATGTTCGTTTTTAAATTTGATTTCAAGGCATGATTTTAATTTTTATGTAATAATAAAATGTACATTTATTACATTTATAAAAATAAAATGGTCGCTATTGCACGATGGGTGTCCCCGCTTCTGATTTTTCTGGATTTGTGCCATTGCTCCTGCTTATAGCTTATAAAGACTGTGGTATTGCAAGTGTGCATTGTTTGCTTTTATTACCTGGGTTTTCTTTCTATATGAATAAGTGTCTCACGTACATGTGTTTTTTTGTAAGGCCAAGGTGCTCATAGCTATGTTGTCTGTGTACAGGTTGTGAAGGGTTCTGAAATTCTTGAAGTCCTGCACGGTGTTCCTGACATCAGCGAGTATCTGTTCTCCCTCTACCGTTGTCAATATGCGGTCTTCTTTAAGAAGCTAGGTGAGCTGATCCTTCAGTTTGCTCTTTCTAGTATATTCCTTTGCGCCATGTGTTATGCGTTGTCAATATGCGGTCTTCTTTAAGAAGCTAGGTGAGCTGATCCTTCAGTTTGCTCTTTCTAGTATATTCCTTTGCGCCATGTGTTATGAGCAACTGTCTGTGTGTACATGTTTCATAATTTTATGCCAACGTTTTGGAGACTACATTGGCAGCAAGTAGAAAGGATAGAAGTTATAGTGCATTTTGTAGCAATCAAATTGAACGACTGCATAAATAATTATTTAATTATTAATCACTCAGCCTAGCTACATTTATTCGTAAACTGAATAAAAGGAAAGCTGTTTTCAGGCATGAAAACGGCTTTCAAAATGATGGTGCTGCTTGGGTTATTTATCCGTAAAAAAAAAAAAAAAAACGCTTGAGCTTGGTGGAACACGAATGGGCATACACGTGCGCTAAATGCATGGCTAGAACTATTATTTCGCTTTCTAACTTTTGGAATTTTTTTGCTGGTAATTGTACAGCCATCTGTTGGTTAGACACACATGGTGACCAGCACATTTCAAAGGTTCAAAGGATCACACACACACATGACGCCATGTACACAATCTACAAATTTATCACGGTGCTTCAAGTCAACATAGGGGTTCTGCTTCTTTGAAACTCACGTTGTCCAGTTGTCCCACATTGTGCTCCGGCTAAGCAGTGATCATAATCCGCCCCACCTTAATGAAATGGCAGATTGGGTGTGTTGGTGATTCATGAATACTTGTAATACGAATGGGTAATGTAGACGGCTACTAAGTAGTAATGAGTCATAACAGACAATAATGCCAGGGAAAGTACAGTAGACTCTCAGTAAACGGAACCTGAAGGGACTGGAAAATTATGTTCCATTTAACAGGCGTTCTGTTTACTGAGAGGTGAACATGGGTGCAGAATACAAGTCCGAAACCAGGCATTGTAGAGGCAATAGTTCCGTTTAAGCAGTAATTCCATTTAACAGATTTCCGTTTACTGAGAGTCTACTGTATAGGGAATGTTATTAGAAGTAATCTTAATTTAAATGTGAAGAAAAGCGGATGAAAAGGTAACTTGCCACCGTCAGGATACGAACCTGCGACCTTCGAATAACGCCGGATCTGAACCTGTGACCTTCTAATAACGTTTTTGAAGATTGCAGGTTCGGACTGCCGCTGCCAAGTTATCTCTTCGTCCACTTTTCTTTATTCACATTTACATTGCAAATACTTGTAATAACATTCACTATACAGTTGAATCTCATTAATTTGAACACGCCTAATTCAAACTTCCTGTTATTTCGAACTCGCGCTGTGGTCCCATCAGAGCTATGTGTATTTCAATTGGCGAAAACGCCCTGTAATTTGAATGCGCTAGCACTTGCTACGGTTAATTCGAACATACCGTGCTCTGATAATGCTCTCAGCCCCACGCCGAATCCCTCGGCGGCACTTCTGACACCTCAATGCTGCGCGCGAAGGAGGAAAAGAACAAAAGGAAAGAAAAGGCTGTAGCGGATTGTTGGCTCTCTCTTAATGCCGATCTGCGACGGGCCGGTGCCACGCTTCTCCCTTTCTCGTCCCTGCCTCGTAGAGACTCTTGTCCTTTCAATGCCGCCCGCAAAGAGAGAGAGAGAAAAAAAAAACAAGCTTCCGCGGAGTGTTGGTTCTTTCACAAATGCCGATCTGCTTCTCTCCTTGTGGAGACACTCCTTCCTTTCTGGTCATGTGCTGGCCACGCAAGGCTACGGCGCATAGGGTAGCAGTGGAGACGCAGTCGTTGCCGTCGTCTTTAAAGGGTGTTGGCGCTGGACATTGCCGCGTGCTACTTCTCTTGCCAGGAGAATGCTGAAGCCGAAGTAGAAATGCTTTGCAAACTGCATGCGAAATTGATTGGACTGCTAGGCAAATGTGTGCAGACGTGCATCACCGATTACTTCAATTACAGTAAAACCTCGTTATAACAAAGTGGGTGTCGTGACTCCGGGTTCTGCGGGTCTCAGTTTGGTAGCGGGCCCCTGTCCTAGGACCCATCATCGAACAAGTCTGATGAGGCGCTCGTAAAAACGACAACAATTTATTTACATGATTAGTAACTGAGAATTAGAAAAGAGAATGAGAAGTCAAAAACTGTACATGAGAACTGTTGAAGTGTAGAACTTTAGAGATCAGAATACACGAAAGTCTTCGGCTTATATAGCGCCTCGTTGCCAACCCTGGGCACATTGTCCGTGGCTTCCGCCAATAGGGCTCTCCATAGTCTAGGTGCTCCACCCACGAAGGAGGGGAAAGACACCACACAATGCATGTGGAGAGGGCACAGTCTACACCATGCCCAAATATGGTCACAAACGCACTGCACCGACGTTTTCGCACACGTCACCAAGTTTCGCGCACGTCCGATGATCTTGGTTTCCAAGATTCTTCTAGCAGCTGGGTGAGGTTCGAAAAACCGGCTGTCAGTACACGTGGCAAACTTGCCTGACTGTTTGGGTAGGACAATATAGCGGTGGGCCAGCATATCGTCAAAATATGCCACCCCATTCAGCCGCTCCCATGGAGAAAGGGGGGGGGGGAGGAGGAGTAGTCAACTGATCCCTTGGGGTGGCTCTGGCAAGGGCTGCAGCAGGTAATGCATTATTCTTTTCTTCACCCCCACATTCCATTCCTGGTTGTTTGCTAGAAGCTGTGGCTTAGCTACACATATCCCGGGGCTCTGCTTGTCCTCGCAAGATGCAGCCACAACCAATTTGGCTTTAGCTTGCAGCCTGAACTGCAAATACCATGCTGGTTCCGAGATTTCCAAATCCTCGGTGACCTCGAAAACGGCCCAGCTGCCTCCTTGTCTGCCTCGAAAGCTTTGCTTGCAGCAAACACAATGGCCTTTTTTGAGTCGAGCCCACAATGCTCTTGGCTCGTGCGTTTTCTCTGCGCGAACCAGTCCCGAACCCCTCGTTCAGGTTTCGCCGAGAGGAAATTAATCCGTCTTGACGGCACACCCTTGCTTGGAATGCGTCGAAATATTTCGTCCCGTTCACATAGGCCGAAAAACTTCAATAATGATGACGGTCGTAACATGGGATATAACGAGCTGATGGATATAACGAAGCAATTGCCATTCTCCTTGAAGTTCCCATAGACGCCCATATATTTAACACCTCATTTTAATGAAGCGAAAATTTCCCCACAATGGATATAACGAACCGTTCCTCTTCTGCAATGAGCATTTATTGATCATTTTGGTCAATTCTCAATATCTTGTAGCGTGCGACGGTTTACGTCTCATCACGGCCGCGGTAATCCAAAACTCACGCCTTGCGCTTCCCGGGAGCCGCTTGCCAACATGCCTACAGGGGCGAGTCTCCCCGCTTCCCTTCTCCTCTGGAACCAATGGACTCGACCGCACGTCAGTCGGCCTCCCCTCTCCTGTAGAACTCATTAACCCGCCCGCGCATCTGACCTCCTTGTCCTCTTCAGCCCGGCGCAGGGCCCTCGCGCGCCGCCGGAGTGGCGGAGATTGTGGCTTTCTTCTTTGTCGTTCGCTGTGGAAGAGCTACACCACCTCCATCAGTTTCTGCCGTTAGACACTAGATGGACAACGGCAGCGGCAAACATAAGCGCAAAAATATAACAATCAAGCAGAAGTTGGCAATGCTGAAGGCCCTTGAGTCTGGCATCAAGCAAAAAAAAAGTGGAAGAAAATTTCGGCGATGTGTGGGTGCCGCGGGCGACCAGGCCTAGACGTTGTGGGATGCTCTATTTGACGCCGGCTTTGTGCCCGACTGCAACACTTTCTGCACCTACGTTGATGCCGATGCTGACGCGGTGACAACGGAAGAGTTGTCAGATGTTGAAATTGTGCCCGCAGTTACAGGTGTGCATGACAGCAGTGACGTATGTGTCGACACTCCGGAGCCTAATGTTGGCGAACCCAACGTACCGATGCCCACGCAAGCGCTGGATGGAACAGACCTGTTGTGCCGCTTCTTTGTCGCTTACGATGACGGCGAGGACGGACTCGAAATAGCTGCTGCAGCTGAAAAAGCAGTCATCCGTGTGAGGAAGAGTCGGCAAAAGTTTATTAAGGACTCTTTTTCTTCGAAGTGATCTGTCAGCTGGTATGCTGAATTTGGCGGAAATAAAGTGCTTTGTTTTTATTATTTTGCTAGTTTTTGCCTTCTGACGGCCATTTTAATCTGCGCGGAGGGCAGCTGTGATATTCGTTGGCGAGTACATTCTCTCTTGCTGGCTAATTGTCGGTAAAAATGGATATTGGCTACAACAAACTAATGGTTATAACAAAGTAATTACGACTTCCCCTTCAACTTTGTTATAATGAGGTTTGACTGTAATGACAGATGTCCTGTGATTTATGAATAAATGTAAGCCTTCTGAAACTTCCCCCTTGTGTGTCAGCTCAATGTGCATGCATCTTTGCATGGTGAGCCCTCCGTTCATTTAGCTTTTATAAATTCGAATTCGTTTTATTCGAACAAAATCATAATTTACATATGCATCAGCGAACATTAAGGTTTGCTCATTGGGTTAGCTTCAATCAATTAACTTGAATTAGTATGAACCAGTAGGAAAAAACAAGATGGACGTTAGACAGGGCTGCTAGGTTTAAGTCAGGTATGTGAAAAACATTTAGATGAGTGACAGTTAAAAACAACGGGTGCAAAGTGCTGTAACTATCCTCGTCGTGCTAAAAAATGTGCATGTTTGCTTGTTGTGGGCATTGGCGCGACAGCTAGGCCGTTTCGATGAGGTCTCGGTGCACGATAGCTCAGGCACCCTGTATATACTGCAATGCTTTAGTCCTGTTTGTCTGTAAATGCAGCCTTTGTAAAGACTTTAGCATGTTTTTTGTTGCAAAAACTGCTCTCACTCCTCTCGTTGTGTGTGCGCTGCAGCTCACGTGGAACAGCTGCTCCAGCGTGACCGGCTGTGGGCTCCACACGTGCGCTTCTACGTGCGCGAAATGCGCATTCTGGCCTACTCCCAGCTGCTAGAGTCCTACCGTAGTCTGACGCTGCAGTACATGGCCAATGCTTTTGGCGTAACCGTCGCCTTCATCGATCAGTGAGTACACGTGTTTTGTCGCCCATGCCGCAGTGACATGAAATCAAAGTACTGCACTAGCATAGAAAATGGAGCAAAGTTTAGTCACTCAAATCTCTTGAACGGAAGTGCTGCTTAATAGGAATAACTGCCTCCGATGGGGCTGTATTCGGCACCCCTGCTCTACTCTTTGTAGACAGAACCCCTGTTAAGGGGGGAAGCTGCACTTGAAAAGCGACTTTTTCATTTATGGATAGATCTGAACCAAATTTTCACAGTTTGTGTATTTTGATGTGCAGATTCCAAAAATGTAATTACTTTTGTGATAGGGCTAGTAGTTCCCAATATGCTGTGATATCATTGCATAAGCTGGGTCCTTTGTTTGGAGCAAAATTAGCGTCTAATCAGAAAGCCCAGAAATGGTGGTTACAGTATTGAAACAATGCAGGATGTTCAAGGATAGCGAGATGCTATAAATCAATTTACTTGGTGAATTTTAACAAGAGTTAGAGGTCATCAATGTTTATCGAAAATAAAGCCATTGTCACATACCATACATGTGACCCATTTAAAAAATTTTGTGAAATGTATATTTTTCTGAAAATAGGCATATTGCTTACTGCATGCATTTATCTTTCTGGCAAAACAAAAATTATGCTAATAGCTCGAGGCGTGTTTCAACGCGCTCTTCTTTGTTTCCGATAGCATCGGCGCAGTCATAGTCCACAGAGCGTACGCTAACCCGTTTCGCGCTCTCCTCTGTTGACGATAACATCAGTACTCGTGCGACCAGCGTCCACGCCGCGCACGCACGAGGAATTGTCTACGGCCACGTCGACGCTATCAGACGATGTCGGAGCTTGCTCCCGCGATGCAGTAGCAGCACCAAGGGACTTTCTACCCCGGCCTTTCTTCCGTGAACTGCCAAAATGATGCTTCGACCGGAACTTTTTCGCACCGCTGGGCATAGCAAACCACACCAAAATATTCTAACACACTGACTGCACGAACACATTAGCGATAAGACACCATCGCAAGAGCGATACCTTTTCAAAATGGCGGCTGACACTGCCATCAAGTTTTCATGGCCAGTCGAGAAACGCCATTTTGGTCACGTGCGTCAGGCAACCAAGGGAGTCACGCGGAGCGTGTGGTTTTGCTTTGCTTTTTTTTGCTTCTGCGTGGGGCACATGGTTGCTTACTGAAAACAAGAGAAAAGCTGGAAACTCGACCTTTCAAACTAGACCAAAATGGCGCTGGTGGAGCGCGGAGTTCCCGTGCTGTCGGCGGTTGAAGTAAGGCTAGTTTAGACTTGAATTTAAAGGTTTCGCTTGCGCATAGTTGCTCTTTTTATCTCTTATAACTCCGGAAATAAATAGAATTTCGAAGCCAAAATTTGCTGATAGATGCAGAAGGGCCTCGGGAACGCGAAAACGTTGAGAGAGAAAATGCGATTTTTTGGCCGATTTCCAACTTTTAAGTGCCGCGTCCCCCCTTAAAATGAACGTGTTTTCCTGGTTCCTTTGGGTTTTGTTTAATGAGTGTCTACTGTACATGTAATGGTTATGGGGTGCCCTTCTCAAAAATCATTCTTCAGTGTGCCCTGTGCTGCTGGCCTTTTGACTCTTCTCGTACTGTGCCATTAGGAAAATAGCTTTTTTTCTTGTAGATTGTACTCGGATCTTTTTGCTAAAGGAACTACTTCACTTAGTATACTATGTAGCTCAGCAATGAAGAGCAGAATGAATGAACATTCATGCATATTGAATGAACATGAATGAACATGAATGAACATTCATGCTCTGGTAGTTACGACGGATTTCAGAACATTAGTTCGTAGTACTGAGGCGTTGTTAATATAATGTGGAACTAAATTAACGCTCGTTTTTCTGAAAAGTTTGGTATTCCGAAGTATGTAGTAGTGAAATAATTTTACATTGAAACTATTAGCAGTCAGCATGGGATTTTTAATAGTTCGTTCTACCAAAATTTCATTGTACTTGGAATTTAGGAGCATGTTAAAGAACCCCAGATGGTGGAATTTTCCGGAGCCCTCCACTACAGGGCTCCTCATAACCATATCAGTGTTTAGGGGTGCAAAACGCGAGCATTTGTTAGTGCCCCAGAATTCAGCTTTTATTTTTATTATTATTAGTAGTATTTTTTGATTGCATGAAATGTGCCCGCACTGGGACTGCCGTCACATAGTAACATTTGCCACATGCAGGGAGTTGGCTCGGTACATTGCCGCTGGGCGACTGCACTGCAAGATTGACAAGGTCGGCGAAGTGGTCGAGACCAATCGGCCAGACAGCAAGAATTACCAGTATCAGGTGAGATTGATTTGCCTTGCATCACCGTGCACCTTGTAAGGGGGCACTAAAGGGAAATTAATACTGGCTGATTAGTAATTTGAAAACTTTGTATTTGTTGGATTATACCAAAAAATATTGACTGCTGCAACGTAAAATGGCTAAGGTCAAGATTAAAAGAAAAAGTCTGTGCCAAAGCCATAGTGTCATCGTAATTGTGATGTCAGAAATATCAAAGCATATTTAACCTCATTGACGTTAGCCATTGATGTTAAGTCAAAGCTTTCCATCTTACTCAGTTTAGTACCTGGCCCTCTTAAACTACAATGCAGTCTATACTGATCGAGAAGTAATTCTCTGGGTGTAAATTGGCACAGTCGAAATCCGTGATTTCATGACATGTTGGTAACAGTGGTCTCTGGTGATGGTAGATGTGTAAGTCAGTGAGCTTCATCGATTTACACGTCCCGGACGGCTCCGGACGCCGGTGGTGCATTAGTTTTTTCTCGGGGACCAGCTGGAAGCTCCGCCCACTAGTCCGGGATCGCTCGGACGCATGTTCGTTTTTCGCGTGCCTGGCGGCCTGCGGGCGGCTTGGGACCGTCCGAACAATTTTTTTCGGGCAGCTGGCAGATGACAGCGTAGTGCGCATGCTGTGCGGCTATCTTAAGTTAGACACGGGAAATTTTCGATGCGCTCTTGTTCTCTCTTTGCTTTTCTGTCCGCTTCTCGCATGTTTCTAGATTTCGCATTTTTAGGGCACCCAGTTCTTGTCATCGGTGTTCTGAGCCACGTCGAGCATTGCGTATTCCGAAGGTCGGGCAAACACGCGCTATGCTTGCTGGGAGAAACAGCGGTGGAACGACCGCGGCCTGTCTACGATGCGCATGCTCTCGAGTAGTTCACTTACAGTAAGTAAGTTGCATCACAACAGAAATAGGTATAATTCACTACCTAACTGCTGTTTTTGGTTGCAAATGGGTCAGTGTTGTGGCCTGTGTTTCAGCTATGAAGGGAGCAGACGGCATAGCCAGGCATAGCTATGCACAGCGGATGCTGTGCTGGGCCTTTTGACTCTTCTTGTACTGTGCCGTTGGGAAAATAGCTTTTTTTCTTGTAGATTGTACTCGGATCTTTTTGCTAAAGGAACTACTTCACTTAGTATACTATGTACCTCAGCAGTGAAGAGCAGAATGAATGAACATTCATGCATATTGAATGAACATGAATGAACATTCATGCTCTGGTAGTTACGACGGATTTCAGAACATTAGTTCGTAATACTGAGGCGTTGCTAATATAACGTGGAACTAAATTAACGCTCGTTTTTCTGAAAAGTTTGGTATTCCGAAGTATGTAGTAGTGAAATAATTTTACATTGAAACTATTAGCAGTCAGCATGGGATTTTTAATAGTTCGTTCTACCAAAATTTCATTGTACTTGGAATTTAGGAGCATGTTAAAGAACCCCAGATGGTGGAATTTTCCGGAGCCCTCCACTACAGGGCTTCTCATAACCATATCAGTGTTTAGGGGTGCAAAACGCGAGCATTTGTTAGTGCCCCAGAATTCAGCTTTTATTTTTATTATTATTAGTAGTATTTTTTGATTGCATGAAATGTGCCCGCGCTGGGACTGTCGTCACATAGTAACATTTGCCACTTGCAGGGAGTTGGCTCGGTACATTGCCGCTGGGCGACTGCACTGCAAGATTGACAAGGTCGGCGAAGTGGTCGAGACCAATCGGCCAGACAGCAAGAATTACCAGTATCAGGTGAGATTGATTTGCCTTGCATCACCGTGCACCTTGTAAGGGGGCACTAAAGGGAAATTAATACAGGCTGATTAGTAATTTGAAAACTTTGTATTTGTTGGATTATACCAAAAAATATTGACTGCTGCAACGTAAAATGGCTAAAGTCAAGATTAAAAGAAAAAGTCTGTGCCAAAGCCATAGTGTCATCGTAATTGTGATGTCAGAAATATCAAAGCATATTTAACCTCATTGACGTTAACCATTGATGTTAAGTCAAAGCTTTGAATCTTACTCAGTTTAGTACGTGGCCCTCTTAAACTACAATGCAGTCTATACTGATCGAGAAGTAATTCTCTGGGTGTAAATTGGCACAGTCGAAATCCATGATTTCATGACATGTTGGTAATAGTGGTCTCTGGTGATGGTAGATGTGTAAGTCAGTGAGCTTCATCGATTTACACGTCTCGGACGGCTCCGGACGCCGGTGGTGCATTCGTCGGACGCCGGTGGTGCATTCGTTTTTTCTCGGGGACCAGCTGGAAGCTCCGCCCACTGGTCCGGGATCGCTCGGACGCATGTTCGTTTTTCGCGTGCCTGGCGGCCTGCGGGCGGCTTGGGACCGTCCGAACAATTTTTTTCGGGCAGCTGGCAGATGACAAGCAGTGCGCATGCTGTGCGGCCATCTTAAGTTAGACACGGGAAATTTTCGATGCGCTCTTGTTCTCTCTTTGCTTTTCTGTCCGCTTCTCGCATGTTTCTAGATTTCGCATTTTTAGGGCACCCAGTTCTTGTCATCGGTGTTCTGATCCATGTCGAGCATGTGCGTATTCCCGAAGGTCGGGCAAACACGCGCTATGCTTGCTGGGAGAAACAGCGGTGGAACGACCGCGCCTGTCTACGATGCGCATGCGCTCGAGTAGTTCACTTACAGTAAGTTGCATCACAACAGAAATAGGTATAATTCACTACCTAACTGCTGTTTTGGTTGCAAATGGGTCAGTGTTGTGGCCTGTGTTTCAGCTATGAAGGGAGCAGACGGCATAGCCAGGCATACAAGATGCCACAGCGGATGCATTCAGCATCAAGAGCGCAGATGGCCCGAGGCCGCTCGGGATGGCTCTAAACATTTAGATCACGTGCATGTGACGTAGCCACCTTTGAGCCGAGGCGTCCGCGGGCCGTCCGCGAGTGATCCGGGACTTGGTAAATCGATGAAGCTCACTACTACAACGAACAGTGTACCCTTAAAGGGCCCCTAATCCGCCCAGAGGTCTAAATATGGGTGTGGTGTTGTAGCTATGCACGAGTCTACCATGAACACACATCCGTGAGAGTTTTCTTGAAATGGTGCCATACTAGCGAAGTTATGCGCGTTTAATGATCGAAACGCATCAATCGCTCATTTTGCTCTTTCCTTTGCCACTGTTCGTTCGTTGGCTGGTCTCCTCTCTCAAAGCCGCTTTGCCCTTTACGCCGAATGCCCCTCCCAATCTCACATGTGACATCCGTCGTCTCTAATGCGCTCGATCCGGCTACCGCGACTTTGTCAACGGCGCGCTCCTCGGTTGCTTACTGTTGTTGCCATATTGGCCTGTGCTTGTAGGAATCATGCTGGTGTGGGCACTGTCAATATGCTAGCAATTTGGCACTTGTGTTATGGGCCGCAGTTGCCACTTTGCAAGCATGCGCCCATGGTTAAGATAACGGAAAACTGCAAGAAGCATTCAATAAAACTTGAAAATGGACAAGTTTGTTCACACTTCAAAGTAAACTGGTGTATGCAACTAAAGACAGGGACACTGCACAATGTCCCTGCTCCTGTTGTGGCTGGCCCTGTTCATTCTTTTTTGTGTCTGTGTCTTTATTTACGCACACTAGTTTACCTTGAAGCAAGAAGCGTAGGCAGCTGCTCGAGCTTGTAGACTAACCGGAAGTTGTAAGTTATTGTTCAGCCAATCGCTGCATGAGTTGCCAATACCATTGCAGATCCAACTGATTCGGCGATTTGGGCAAGTAGGTATACTAATTGGTGTCATCGGTTTCTTGTTCTTTGTCTGCGCTGAACTGCATGTTACCCGGAAGGCACAGATCCAACATGTCAATGTTGCACACGTCACCGCGTAAGCCAGAAAGTGCTGGAGAGAAGAGATTGCTTCGTGGAATTTTCGGGGTGCCCATAGCAAACTAGGGAACTTTTTCAGTATTCCCAGCTCTCGGTTTCCAACTCTTCTATGGCTCAACTAGCTGAAGATACTCCATGGAAATCGAGCTTGTATAGGCAAGTCCTTAACTAGGCTTGCAATCTAGGCAGGTTCGAAAGTGATGTAAAGGCTCCAAAGGACTCTAAAGGCTTATAACGATTCATATCAAAGTGAAAGGCCAATGTTTGAGAACATCTAAAATGTCAGTATTATGAACATCAGTGCTCTACTAATTGAGAATCCAATGTGAATGTAAGTATGTGACATCAGTGGGACATTTGGAATGGGACCGATGATGTCAAGAATCTATATTACAATTAATCATTAGTACTCAAACCACCTATAAGACAGATAATATTCCATGCACTACAAGGTGTAGTAAAGCGCTTCTCCTTGCTTTACGAAGAATGCAACTTGGCGTTACCATGGGGAGTGACGCAAGTTGTTCGAAAATTCAGTTTTCGCCGAGCTGGAATCCGTTCATAGCCGTTGTGTTTCAGTGGTAGTTATTGTTTGCAAAGTCGCATCTTAGCAATAGTTTCATTATCGCGAATTGCTGCACAGGTTTTGCTGGCCCTGCAACACTCGCTTTAACTCCGATTTAGAGAACATGCCGCGTCCGTGTAATACCTGCTGCTACAACGAAATAACGATTTTCCGATGGTGCCATGGAGGAAACTCCTATGCTTGAAGCGTGTCCAGTGCTGCACTTCTGTGAATGTGAGATGGGCATTAGCAAAATACTGTACTTATGTTGTCACTTCATTTTCAGGTGGAGAATCACGGATTTAAGCGTAACGTAAGCTAGTCGCGCAACCCGCCCTTCAAAGTACGGCTTCTCCATAGTGCTCTTTCACCAGTCTTGTCGGGACGCTGTGTGCTTGCATTAGAGACATGGAACTTTAAAGAACAGATTTCAAGATTTTAAAAAGCAAAACTGCATTAATAGGAAGGGTTACATATCATTCTCATGGCTGGTTTTCTGACCGCCCCTCAGAGCCCATTGAGGTGTCGGGCACCTTGGGTGTCATTACTCAGTCTGAAAGCACATTGGTCCTACGTGG